GGGGAGGGGGTTTTGGGATGGGGAGGGGTTTTTGGGATGGGAAGGGTTTTTTGGGATGGGGAGGGTGTTTTTGGGATGGGGAGGGTGTTTTTGGGATGGGGAGGGGTTTTTGGGATGGGGAGGGTGTTTTTGGGATGGGAAGGGTTTTTTCGGGATGGGGAGCGGTTTTTTTGGGATGGGAAGGGTTTTTTTGGGATGGGGAGGGGGTTTTTGGGACAGGGAGGTTGTTTTTGGGATGGGGAGGGGGTTTTTGGGATGGGGAGAGGTTTTTGGGATGGGAGAGGTTTTTTGGGATGGGGAGGGATTTTGGGGTGGGTTTTTGGGATGGGGAGAGGTTTTTGGGATGGGGAGGGGGTTTTTGGGATGGGGAGGGGGTTTTGGGACGGGGAGGGGGTTTTTGGGATGGGGAGAGGTTTTTGGGATGGGAAGGGGGTTTTGGGTTTGGAGAGGTTTTGGGATGGGGAGGTGATTTTGGGATGGGGAGGGTTTTTGGGATGGGGAGGGGTTTTTGGGATGGGGAGGGGTTTTTAGGATGGGGAGGGGGTTTTGGGATGGGGAGGGGGGTTTTGGGATGGGGAGGGTGTTTTTGGGATGGGGAGATTTTTTTTGGGATGGGAAGAGGTTTTTGTGTTTTGGAGAGGTTTTTTGGGATGGGGAAGGGGATTTTGGGATGGGGAGAGGTTTTTTTGTATGGGGAGAGTTTTTTTGGGATGGGAAGGGTTTTTTTGGGATGGGGAGTGTTTTTTCGGGATGGGGAGGGTTTTTTTGGGATAGGAAGGGTTTTTTTGGGATGGGAAGGGTGTTTTTGGGATGGGAAGTGTTTTTTTGGGATGGGGAGAGGTTTTTTGGAATGGGAAGGGTGTTTTTGGGATAGGAAGGGTTTTTTTGGGATGGGAAGGGTGTTTTTGGGATGGGAAGTGTTTTTTTGGGATGGGAAGGGTGTTTTTGGGATGGGGAGTGGTTTTTTGGGATGGGGAGGGGGTTTTTGGGACGGGGAGGAGGTATTTGGGACAGGGAGGGGGTTTTTGGGATGGGGAGAGGTTTTTGGGATGGGGAGGGGGTTTTTGTGTTTTGGAGAAGTTTTTTGGGATGGGGAGGGGATTTTTGGGATGGGGAGGGTTTTTTTGGGACGGGAAGGGTTTTTTTGGGACGAGGAGGGTTTTTTTGGGATGGGGAGAGGTTTTTTGGGATGGGAAGGTTTTTTTTGGGACGAGGAGGGTGTTTTTGGGATAGGAAGGGTTTTTTTTGGATAGGAAGGGGTTTTTTGGGATGAGGAGGGTGATTTTAGGATGGGGAGGGGTTTTTTGGGATGAAGAGGGTGATTTTAGGATGGGGAGAGGTTTTTTGGGATTGAGAGAGTTTTTTTGGGATGGGGAGAGGTTTTTTGGGATAGGAAGGGTGTTTTTAGGATGGGAAGGGTTTTTTTGGGATGGGAAGGGTTTTTTTGGGATGGGAAGAGTTTTTTTGGGATGGGGAGGGTGTTTTTGGGATGGGGAGGATGATTTTAGGATGGGGAGCGGTTTTTTGGGATGGGGATGGGGTTTTGGGGATGGGGAGGATGATTTTAGGATGGGGAGGGTTTTTTTGGAATGGGAAGGGTTTTTTTGGGATAGGAAGGGTTTTTTGGGACAAGGAGTGTTTTTTGGGGATGAGGAAGGTTTTTTTGGGACAAGAAGGGTGTGTTTGGGGCGGGGGATCCCCGGCACTGACCGGAAGTGGAAGGTGCCCTCTCTCTGGCCGAAGCCGCTGCCGGGCACGACGCAGATTCCGGTCTCCTCCAGCAGCCTCATGCAGAAGAACATGTCAGGGGCCTGGTTCTGAGCCTGCCCAGGGAATGGGGATGGATTTGGGCTCAGCACCACGGGAAGGGGGAGAAGGATCAGCCCCTTGTAGGGGCGAGGGGCTCCAGTGTTCATCCCAGCTGGACACTCAGGGATCCCGGGATGGATCCTGTCCATGGAGCAGGATTGGGCCCACCCAGTCCCACATGGATCAGGATTGATCCCACCCAATCCCACATGGGCCAGGATTGATCCTGGACACTCCCACATGGAGCAGGATTGATCCTGGACACTCCCACATGGATCAGGATTGGTCCCACATGGAGCAGGATTGATCCTGGACACTCCCACATGGAGCAGGATTGATCCTGGTCGGTCCCACATGGGTCAGGATTGATCCCACATGGAGCAGGATTGATCCTGGACACTCCCACATGGAGCAGGATTGATCCTGGACACTCCCACATGGAGCAGGATTGATCCTGGACACTCCCACATGGATCAGGATTGGTCCCACATGGAGCAGGATTGATCCCATAGAACCCCATGGATCCCAGGACAAATCCCATCCATCCCCATGGATCCCAGTCTATATCCCAGTCTATCCCAGTCTATATCCCAGTCCGTATCCCAGTCCGTATCCCAGTCTCTATCCCAGTCTATCCCAGTCTATATCCCAGTCTGTATCCCAGTCTATCCCAGTCTATATCCCAGTCTATCCCAGTCTGTATCCCAGTCTATATCCCAGTCTATATCCCAGTCTATATCCCAGTCTATCCCAGTCTATATCCCAGTCTATATCCCAGTCTATCCCAGTCTATATCCCAGTCTATCCCAGTCTGTATCCCAGTCTATATCCCAGTCTATCCCAGTCTATATCCCAGTCTATCCCAGTCTATCCCAGTCTATATCCCAGTCTATATCCCAGTCTATATCCCAGTCTATATCCCAATCTATCTCAGTCTATATCCCAGTCTGTATCCCGGTCCATATCCCATTCTGTATTCCAGTCTATCCCAGTCTATATCCCAGTCTGTATCCCAGTCTATCCCAGTCTATCCCAGTCTGTATCCCAGTCTGTATCCCAGTCCATATCCCAGTCTGTATCCCAGTCTATATCCCAGACTGTCTCCCATCCATTCCCACAGATCCCAGTCTGTATCCCAGTCTATATCCCAGTCTGTATCCCAGTCTGTATCCCATTCTGTATCACGGTTGGATCTGTATCCCAGTCTCTATCCCAGGTCGGATCTGTATCCCGGTCCGTATCCCATTCCATATCCCGGTCTGTATCCCAGGCTGTATCCCAGGTTGGATCTATATCCCGTTCCGTATCCCGTTCTGTATCCCATTCTGTATCCCGGTCCGTATCCCAGTCTGTATCCCAGTTTATATCCCAGTCCGTATCCCGGTCTGTATCCCGAGTTGTATCCCGGTCTATATCCCAGTCTCTATCCCAGGTTGTATCCCAGTCTGTATCCCATCCATTCCCACAGATCCCAGTCTGTATCCTATCCCGGTCTGTATCCTGTTCTGTATCCCATTCTGTATCCCGGTCTGTATCCCGGTCTGTATCCCAGTCTCTATCCCGTTCTGTATCCCGGTCCGTATCCCAGTTTATATCCCGGTCCGTATCCCGGTCCGTATCCCGGTCGGTATTCCAGTCCGTATCCCAGTCAGTATCCTGGGCTGTATCCTGGTCTGTATCCCGAGTTGTATCCCAGTCAGTATCCCAGGTTGGATCTATATCCCGGTCGGTATCCCGTTCCGTATCCCATTCCGTATCCCGGTCTGTATCCCAGTCCATATCCCGTTCTGTATCCCGGTCTATATCCCGGTCTATATCCCAGTCTATATCCCAGTCTCTATCCCGGTCCATATCCCGTTCTGTATCCCGGTCTGTATCCTGGTCTCTATCCCGGTCCATATCCCGTTCTGTATCCCAGGTTGGATCTATATCCCGGTCGGTATCCCGTTCCGTATCCCAGTTTATATCCCGGTCCGTATCCCGTTCCGTACCTTGGCGGCCGCCACAGCCCTGGGCGGGATGTCGATGCGAGGGAAGGAGTTGGATCTATATCTATATCTATATCTATATCTATATCTATATATATATCTATATCTATATCATCTATATCTATATCTATATCTATATCTATATCTATATCTGGATCTGTATCCCGTTCCGTATCCCGTTCCGTACCTTGGCGGCCGCCACAGCCTTGGGGGGGATGTCGATGCGAGGGAAGGAGTTGGATCTATATCTATATCTATATCTGGATCTATATCCCGTTCCGTATCCCGGTCGATACCTTGGCGGCCGCCACAGCCTTGGGCGGGATGTCGATGCGAGGGAAGGAGTACATGGCGCCCTGCACGGGGTTGCAGTGGATCCCGGGGGTCTTGTTGAAGATCTCCTGCGTCATCTGCGCCTTCTGCGCCAGGGCGCTCAGCACCGCCGTCTTCTCCTGTGGGACACCGGCACAGCCACGTCCCACGGGGAACACAGCCCTCCCAGCACAGACCAGTTCAGCCCAGAACACCCCAGACCAGTTCAGCTCAGCCCAGCCCAACTCAGCCCAGTTCAGCTCAGCCCAGCCCAGCCCATCCCAGTTCAGGGCGCTCAGCACCGCCGTCTTCTCCTGTGGCACACGGGCACAGCCACGTCCCACGGGGAACACAGCCCTCCCAGCACAGACCAGTTCAGCCCAGACCACCCCAGACCAGTTCAGCTCAGCCCAGTTCAGCTCATCCCAACCCATCCCAGTTCAGGGCGCTCAGCACTGCCGTCTTCTCCTGTGGCACACCGGCACAGCCACGTCCCACGGGGAACAGGACCCTCCCAGCACAGCCCAGCCCATCCCCAGCCCAGTTCAGCTCAGCCCAGTTCAGCTCAGCCCAGTTCAGGGCGCTCAGCACCGCCGTCTTCTCCTGTGGGACACCAGCACAGCCACGTCCCACCGGGAACAGACCCCTCCCAGCACAGCCCAGTTCAGCCCAGAGCACCCCAGACCAGTTCAGCTCATCCCAATCCATCCCCAGCCCAGCCCAGTTCAGCTCAGCTCAGCCCAGCCCAGCCCAGTTCAGGGCGCTCAGCACCGCCGTCTTCTCCTGGGGGACACGGGCACAGCCACGTCCCACGGGGAACACGACCCTCCCAGCACAGCCCAGTTCAGCCCAGAGCACCCCAGTACAGCCCAGCACAGCCCAGCCCATCCCCAGCCCAGTTCAGCTCAGCCCAGCCCAGCCCAGTTCAGGGCGCTCAGCACCGCCGTCTTCTCCTGTGGCACACGGGCACAGCCACGTCCCAGGGGGACCAGAGCCCTCCCAGCACAGCCCAGCCCAGCCCAGCCCAGCCCAGTCCAACCCCAGCCCAGTTCAGCTCAGCCCAGCCCAGCCCAGTTCAGCCCAGCACCAGCTTCTCCTGGGACACGCCAGCCAGTCCCAGCTCAGCCCAGTTCAGCCCAGAACACCCCAGACCAGTTCAGCTCATCCCAACCCATCCCCAGCCCAGCCCAGTTCAGCCCAGCCCAGCCCAGCCCATCCAGTTCAGCTCTCAGCACCGCCAGTCTCATCCTGGACACAGCCACCAGCCCAGTTCAGCCTCCCAGTCCAGCCCAGCCCATCCCACAGCACCAGCCCAGTTCAGCTCATCCCAGCCCAGCCCAGTCCAGCCCAGTCCAACTCCAGCCCAGTCTCCAGCCATCCAGACTCAGCTCTCCAGCCCAGTTCAGCTCAGCCCAGCCCAGCCCCAGCCCAGTTCAGCTCAGCCCATCCCAGCCCAGCTCCAGTCCAGCCCAGTCCAGCTCATCCCAGTCCAGCCCAGCCCAGCCCAGCCCAGCCCAGCCCAGCCCAGTTCAGCCATCCCAACCCAGCCCAGTCCAGCTCATGCCCAGTCCAGCCCAGTCCAGCCCAGCAGCTCAGTTCAGCTCATCCCAGCCCAGCCAGCCCAGCCCAGCTCAGCTCAGCCCAGCTCCAGACCCCCCAGACCAGTTCAGCTCATCCCAGCCCATCAGCCCAGCCCAGCCCATAATCCAGCCCAGTTCAGCTCAACCCATCCCAGTTCAGCTCAGCCCAGTTCAGCCATCCCAACCCAGCCCCAGCCCAGCCCAGTTCAGCTCATCCCAACCCATCCCCAGCCCAGCCCATCCCAGCCCAGACCAACCCAGCCCAGTTCAGCTCATCCCAGCCCAGCCCAGCCCAGCCCAGCCCAGCCCAGCCCAACCCAGCCCATCCCAGACCACCCCAGACCAGTTCAGCTCATCCCAGCCCAGTTCAACCCAGCACAGCCCAGACCACCCCAGCCCAGTTCAGCTCATCCCAACCCATCCCCAGCCCAGCTCAGTTCAGCTCATCCCAACCCATCCCCAGCTCATCCCAGTCCAGCCCAGCCCATCCCAACCTAGCCCCAGCCCAGCCCAGTTCAGCTCATCCCAACCCATCCCCAGCCCAGCCCAGCCCAGCCCAGCCCAGACCAACCCAGCCCAACCCAGCCCATCCCAGACCACCCCAGACCAGTTCAGCTCATCCCAGCCCAGTTCAACCCAGCACAGCCCAGACCACCCCAGCCCAGTTCAGCTCATCCCAACCCATCCCCAGCCCATCCTAACCCAGCCCAGTTCAGCCCAGCCCAGTCCAGCCCAGTCCAGCCCAGCTCCCAGCCCAGTCCAGCCCAGCCCATCCCCAGCCCAGCCCAGCTCAGCCCAGCCCAGCCCAGTCCAGCCCAGCCCAGCCCAGCTCAGACCACCCCAGACCAGTTCAGCCCAGCCCAGACCAGTTCAGCCCAGACCAACCCCAGACCAGTTCAGCTCATCCCAACCCATCCCCAGCCCATCCTAACCCAGCCCAATCCAGACCAGTTCAGCTCATCCCAGCCCAGCCCCAGCCCAGCCCAGCCCAGTTCAGCCCAGCCCAGCCCAACCCATCCCCAGCCCAGCCCAGCCCAGCCCAGTTCAGCCCAGCCCAGCCCAGTCCATCCCAGTCCAGCTCAGCCCAGCCCAGCCCAATCCAGCACAGCACAGCCCAGCACAGCCCAGACCACCCCAGCCCAGTTCAGCTCAGCCCAATCCAGCCCAGCCCAATCCAGCCCAGTCCAGCCCAGCCCAGCCCGGCCCAGCCCCAGCCCAGCCAAGCCCAGTTCAACCCAGCCCAGCCCACCCCAGACCAGTTCAGCTCATCCCAACCCATCCCCAGCCCATCCTAACCCAGCCCAATCCAGACCAGTTCAGCCCAGCCCCAGCCCAGCCCAGCCCAGTTCAACCCAGCCCAACACATCCCCAGCCCAGTTCAGCCCAGCCCCAGCCCAGCCCCAGCCCAGCCCAGCCCATCCTCAATTCCATCCCAACCCATCCTGTCCTCCCTCTCCTCCTCCCCTCCTCCCTCCCTCCTCCCATCCCATCCCATCCCAAATATCCCATCCCATCCCATCCCAAATATCCCATCCCATCCCATCCCATCCCATCCCATCCCAAATATCCCATCCCATCCCATCCCAAATATCCCATCCCATCCCATCCCATCCCATCCCAAATATCCCATCCCATCCCAAATATCCCATCCCATCCCATCCCATCCCAAATATCCCACCCCATCCTCCCCCGTTATCCCATCCCAACCCCGTGGGTACCGCGTGGAATCTCTCGTAGGAAGGGTCCCCGGGCTGGGGGGGGTCCATGACCACGTCCAGGACCACCTGCCCGGGCACGGGGGGGCAGAGCCGCACGGACACCAGCTTGGCCAGCTGGTCCTTCACTGCAGGGTCCAGGTTCACCACCTCCATGTACCCCCCTCAGCCCACACCTATGGACACACCGGGATTGGGATTGGAACAGGTTCACCACCTCCATGTACCCCCCCCTCAGTCCACACCTATGGACACAGGGACCACCACCGGGATCAGGATTGGGATGGGAACAGGTTCACCACCTCCATGTACCCACCCCTCAGACCACACCTGGGATTGGGATCAGGATTGGGATTGGGATTGGGATGGGAACAGGTTCACCACCTCCATGTACCCACCCCTCAGTCCACACCTACGGACACACCGGGATCAGGATTGGGATTGGGATTGGGATGGGAACAGGTTCACCACCTCCATGTACCCCCCCCTCAGACCACACCTGGGATTGGGATTGGGATTGGGATGGGGATGGGAACAGGTTCACCACCTCCATGTACCCCCCCCTCAGACCACACCTGGGATTGGGATTGGGATTGGGATTGGGATTGGGATGGGAACAGGTTCACCACCTCCATGTACCCCCCCTCAGTCCACACCTGGGATGGGGATTGGGATTGGGATTGGGATTGGGATTGGGATGGGAACAGGTTCACCACCTCCATGTACCCCCCCTCAGTCCACACCTGGGATTGGGATTGGGATCGGGATTGGGATTGAGATGGGAACAGGTTCACCACCTCCATGTACCCCCCCCTCAGACCACACCTGGGATTGGGATTGGGATTGGGATTGGGATTGGGATGGGAACAGGTTCACCACCTCCATGTACCCCCCCCTCAGTCCACACCTGGGATTGGGATTGGGATTGGGATTGGGATTGGGATTGGGATTGGGATTGGGATGGGAACAGGTTCACCACCTCCATGTACCCACCCCTCAATCCACACCTGGGATTGGGATTGGGATCGGGATTGGGATTGAGATGGGAACAGGTTCACCACCTCCATGTACCCACCCCTCAATCCACACCTGGGATTGGGATTGGGATTGGGATGGGGATGGGAACAGGTTCACCACCTCCATGTACCCCCCCTCAGACCACACCTGGGATTGGGATTGGGATTGGGATTGGGATTGGGATGGGAACAGGTTCACCACCTCCATGTACCCCCCTCAGTCCACACCTGGGATTGGGATTGGGATTGGGATTGGGATGGGAACAGGTTCACCACCTCCATGTACCCACCCTCAGTCCACACCTGGGATTGGGATTGGGATTGGGATTGGGATGGGAACAGGTTCACCACCTCCATGTACCCACCCCTCAGTCCACACCTGGGATCGGGATTGGGATTGGGATTGGGATGGGAACAGGTTCACCACCTCCATGTACCCACCCCTCAGTCCACACCTGGGATTGGGATCAGGATTGGGATTGGGATTGGGATGGGAACAGGTTCACCACCTCCATGTACCCCCCCCTCAGTCCACACCTGGGATTGGGATTGGGATTGGGATGGGGATGGGAACAGGTTCACCACCTCCATGTACCCACCCTCAGTCCACACCTGGGATTGGGATTGGGATTGGGATTGGGATGGGAACAGGTTCACCACCTCCATGTACCCCCCCCTCAGTCCACACCTGGGATTGGGATTGGGATTGGGATTGGGATTGGGATTGGGATGGGAACAGGTTCACCACCTCCATGTACCCACCCCTCAGTCCACACCTGGCATTGGGATTGGGATTGGGATTGGGATGGGAACAGGTTCACCACCTCCATGTACCCCCCCCTCAGTCCACACCTGGCATTGGGATTGGGATTGGGATTGGGATGGGAACAGGTTCACCACCTCCATGTACCTGCCCCACAGCCCCTACCTGGGATTGGGATTGGGATTGGGATGGGGATGGGAACAGGGATGAGGACCCTGCTGGAACCCCGGGATGGGCAGTCATGGGTGGGAACCCACGGACAGGGACTCGTGGAGGGGAGCCAGGGATGGGGGTCTGGGAGGGGAATCCATGGAAGAGATCCATGGAGGGGAGCCAGGGATGAAGGTCCATGGATGGGAACCCATGGATGAAGGTCCAGGGATGGGAACCCATGGAGGGAATCCATGGATGAAGGTCCAGGGATGGGGGTCTGGGAGGGGAATCCGTGGATGGGAATCCATGGAGAGGAACCTACAAGGAAGGACTCAAGGATGGGACTCATGGATGGGGAGTCTGGGAGGGGAATCCATGGATGAAGGTCCAGGGATGGGGATCTGGGAGGGGAATCCATGGATGGGAACCTCCAGGTGGGACACATGGAGGGGAGCCAGGGATGAAGGTCCAGGGATGGGGGTCTGGGATGGGAATCTACGAGTGGCAACTTCCATGTGGGATTCATGGAGGGGATGTGGCATCCATGGGGTGGTGGCATCTCCATCCCCAATCCCATCCCAGGGGATCCATGGGGTGGTGGCAGCTCCAATCCAATCCAATCCAATCCAATCCAATCCAATCCAATCCAATCCAATCCAACCCAATCCAATCCAATCCAATCCCATCCCAGGGGATCCAAGAGGTGGTGGCAGCTCCAAACCAATCCAATCCAATCCAATCCAATCCAACCCAATCCAATCCCATCCCATGGGATCCAAGAGGTGGTGGCAGCTCCAAACCAATCCAATCCAATCCAATCCAATCCAATCCAATCCAATCCAATCCAACCCAATCCAATCCAATCCAATCCAATCCAATCCAATCCAATCCAATCCAATCCAATCCAATCCAATCCCATGGGATCCATGGGTGGTGGCAGCTCCAATCCAACCCAACCCTATCCAACCCAATCCAATCCAATCCAATCCAATCCAATCCAATCCAATCCAATCCAATCCCATCTCAGGGATCCCTGGGTGGTGGCAGCTCCAATCCAATCCAATCCAATCCAATCGAATCCAATCCAATCCAATCCAATCCAATCCAATCCCATCCCAGGGTGCACATGGGGTGGTGGCAGCTCCAATCCAATCCAATCCAATCCAATCCAATCCAATCGAATCCAATCCAATCCAATCCAATCCAATCCAATCCAATCCAATTGAATTCCATCCAATCCAATCCAATCCCATCCCAGGGGATCCAATCCAATCCAATCCAATCCAACCCAATCCAACCTAATCCAATCCAATCCAAACCAATCCAATCCAACCCAATCCAATCCAATCCAATCCATTCCCATCCCATCCCATCCCAGGAATCCATAGGGTGGTGGCAGCTCCAATCCAATCCAATCCAATCCAACCCAATCCAACCCAATCCAATCCAATCCAAACCAATCCAATCCAATCCAATCCAATCCAATCCAATCCCACCCCTCCCATTCCCCGGACTCACTCTCCCATGTATCCCTTGGAGACGGAGTGGAAGGAGGCCAACTCCACCGACTCCGAGTAGGGCGGTCCCAGCTGCATCAGCACCTTCTTGAAGGAGTGGAAGGCGGAGCCCTCGGCGTAGACGTTGTCCTGGTACACCTGGGGGACACCCCGGGGTGTCACCCCCAATTCTGAGCCTCCCAGGGAGAGGGGGCACCCCCAGGGATCCCAATCCCACCTCGTCAGCCAGGAGGAAAAGCTTCTCCTCGTGGGCGAACTTGATGACGGCCTCGATGCACTCCCGGTTCTGCACCTGGCCTGGGAACACGGGAATGTGGGAATGGGGGAATGCTGGGATAGGGGGGCCAGTCCAGGCAGGGAACTGGGGGCCCAGTCCCAGTTTGGGGTCCCAATCCCAGTCCAGGGCTCCCAATCCCAGTCTAGGGCTCCCAATCCCAGTCTAGGGCTCCCAATCCCAGTCTAGAGCTCCCAATCCCAGTCCAGGGGTCCCAGTCCAGCCCAGGGCTCCCAATCCCAGTCTAGGGGTCCCAATCCAGCCCAGGGGTCCCAATCCCAGTCTATCAGTCCCAGTCCAGGCAGGGAACTGGGGTCCCAGTCCAGCCCAGGGGTCTCAGTCCAGCCCAGGGGTCCCAGTCCAGCCCAGGGGTCCCAATCCCAGTCTATCAGTCCCAGTGTAGGCAGGGAACTGGGGTCCCAATCCCAGTTTGGGGTCCCAATCCCAGTCTAGGGCTCCCAATCCCATTCTATCAGTCCCAGTCCAGGCAGGGAACTGGGGTCCCAGTCCAGCCCAGGGGTCCCAGTCCAGCCCAGGGGTCCCAATCCCAGTCTATCAGTCCCAGTGCAGGCAGGGAACTGGGGTCCCAGTTCAGCCCAGGCGTCCCAATCCCAGTCTATCAGTCCCAGTGCAGGCAGGGAACTGGGGTCCCAGTCCAGCCCAGGGGCCCAATCCCAGTCTAGGGCTCCCAATCCCAGTCTAGGGGTCCCAGTGCAGGCAGGGAACTGGGGTCCCAGTCCAGCCCAGGGGCCCCAATCCCAGCACAGGGGTCCCAATCCCAGTCTAGGGGTCCCAGTGCAGGCAGGGAACTGGGGTCCCAGTCCAGCCCAGGGGCCCCAATCCCAGCACAGGGGTTCCAATCCCAGTCCAGGGCTCCCAATCCCAGTCTAGGGGTCCCAATCCCAGTTTGAGGTCCCAATCCCAGTCTATCAGTCCCAGCCCAGCCCAGGGGTCCCAATCCCAGTCTAGGGCTCCCAATCCCAGTCTAGGGCTCCCAATCCCAGTCTAGGGCTCCCAATCCCAGTCTATCAGTCCCAGTACAGTCCAGGGCCCCCAATCCCAGTGTAGGGCTTCCAATCCCAGTCTAGGGCTCCCAATCCCAGTCTAGAGCTCCCAGTCCCAGTCTATCAGTCCCAGTCCAGTCCAGGGCTCCCAATCAGCACAACACAAATCCCGCTCCATACCCTATCCCAGTACCCCATATCCCATTCCTGCTATCCCATTTCCAGTCCCCATTACCTGTGGGGTTCCCGGGGTTGATGATGCACAGTGCCCATTCCCATATCCCATATCCCATATCCCATATCCCACATCCCATATCCCATATCCCATATCCCATATCCCATATCCCATATCCCATATCCCATTACCTGTAGGATTCCCGGGGTTGATGATGCACAGTGCCCGGGGGCAGCAGTACCCCAGCCCATATCCCATATCCCATATCCCACATCCCATATCCCACATCCCATATCCCATATCCCATATCCCACATCCCATATCCCACATCCCATATCCCACATCCCATATCCCACATCCCATATCCCACATCCCATATCCCACATCCCATATCCCACATCCCATATCCCATATCCCATATCCCATATCCCATATCCCATTATCCCATTATCCCATTACCTGTGGGGTTCCCGGGGTTGATGATGCACAGCGCCCGGGGGCAGCAGTGCCCATATCCCATATCCCATATCCCATTATCCCATTATCCCATTACCTGTGGGATTCCCGGGGTTGATGATGCACAGTGCCCAGCCCATATCTCATATCCCATATCATATCCCATTCCCATTATCCCATTATCCCATTATCCCATTACCTGTGGGGTTCCCGGGGTTGATGATGCACAGTGCCCAGCCCATATCCCATATCCCATATCCCATATCCCATATCCCGTATCCCATATCCCATATCCCATATCCCATATCCCGTATCCCATATCCCATATCCCATATCCCATATCCCCTATCCCATTACCTGTAGGGTTCCCGGGGTTGATGATGCACAGCGCCCGGGGGCAGCAGCGCTTCCTGCCCTCAGCCAGCGCCCTCCTGAGCTCGGCCACGTCGAGGGCCCATCCCCGCTCCTCGTTGAGGTAATAATTGACCTGCACGGCCTCCAGCTCGGCCAGCGCCGCCGAGTACAGCGGGTACTGCGGGATCGGGATCAGCACCCCCGTGCGCGACTGCCCCGAGCCCGCCACCAGCAGCTTCAGCATGTTCTGTGGGAACACACGCACCGCCGTCACGCGGGGCACCGCACGGGACACGGCACACGGGGCATGGGGACAGCGAGGGGACACGGCACAGGGGGTAGAGGGACAGCTTCAGCATGTTCTGTGGGCACACACGCACCGCCGTCACGCGGGGCACGGGACAGGGACACGGCACAGGGGGTGTGGGGACAGCGAGGGACACGGCACAGGGGGCAGCGGGGGGACAGCGAGGGACACGGCACAGGGGACAGCAGGGGGGACAGCGAGGGGACAGCGGGGACACAGCACAGGGGGTAGAGGGACAGCTTCAGCATGTTCTGTGGGCACACACGCACTGCCGTCACGCGGGGCACCGCACGGGGACACGGCAGAGTGGGGACAGCGGGGGGACAGCGAGGGGACAGCGGGGGACACGGCACAGGGGGTGTGGGGACAGCGAGGGGACGGACAGCAGGGGGGACAGCAGGGGGACACGGCACAGGGGGCAGGGGACAGCGGGGGACAGCGAGGGACACTGCACAGGGGGTGTGGGGACAGTGGAGGACACGGCACAGGGGGTGTGGGGACAGCGAGGGGACAGCAGGGGACACTGCACAGGGGGTGTGGGGACAGCGGGGGACACGGCACAGGGGGTGTGGGGACAGCGGGGGACAGCGAGGGGACACTGCACAGGGGGTGTGGGGACAGTGGGGGACACGGCACAGGGGACAGCGGGGGTACAGCGGGGGACACGGCACAGGGGGTGGGGACAGTGAGGGGACACGGCACAGGGGCAGGGGGACAGTGGGGACACGGCACAGGGGGCAGGGGACAGCGGGGGACAGTGGGGGACACGGCACAGGGGGCAGGGGACAGCAGGGGGACAGCAGGGGACACGGCACAGGGGGCGTGGGGACAGCGAGGGGACAGCGGGGACACGGCACAGGGGGCGTGGGGACAGCGACAGGGGGACACGGCACAGGGGGCAGGGGGACAGCAGGGGGACAGCCGGGGGACAGCGGGGGACACGGTAGAGTGGCGATGGGGACGGCGAGGGGACATGGCAGAGTGGGCATGGGGACAGTGGGGGGACAGCGGGGGGACACAAAGGGTGTGGGCATGGGGACATCAGGGGGAACACCACTGGTGTGGGAGTGGGGACAGGAGGGGACAGGAGGGGGACACCACTGGTGTGGGATTGGGGGCAGGGAGGGGACAGAGGGGCTTAGGACAGAGGGTATGGGCATGGGGACAGTGTGGGGACACCAGTGGTGTGGGGATGGGGACAGCGGGGGGACAGTGGGGGGACATCACTGGTGTGGGAGTGGGGACAGAGAGGGGACAGAGGGGCTTAGGACAGAGGGTATGGGCGTGGGGACATCGTGGGGACACCACGGGGACATCATGGGGACACCACTGGTGTGGGAGTGGGGACAGGGAGGGGACAGCACAGAGGGAAAATAGAGGGCATGGACATGGGGACACTGTGGGAATATCGTAGGGACACCACGGGTGTGGGAGTGGGGACGGGGAGGGGACATGGTTGCCGTGGCCATGGGGACATGGGGACAGTGTGGGGACATGGGGACAGTGTGGCGACATGGCAGTGGGGGAATGGGGAGGGTGAGGGGACAGGATGGGGTGGGGATGGGGACCTCATGAGACAGGGTTGGCGTGGCCATGGGGACATGGGGACAGTGTGGGGACATGGGGACAGTGTGGGGACATGGTAGTGGGGGGATGGGGAGGGTGAGGGGACAGGGATGGGGTGGAGATAGGGGACATGGGGACATCGTGGGGACACAATTGGTGTGGGGATGGGGACAGGGAGAGGACAGGGTGGGTTGGGATAGAGGGTCCAGTGCTGTGGGGGAGGGGACAGGGTGGGGATCTGGGTTCTGGGGACACTGGGATGGCACAGGGGCACCGGGATGGCACAGGGACACTGGGATGGCACAGGACACCGTGGCCATGGGGACAGGATGGGCACAGGGACACCGTGGCCATGGGGACAGGGAGGGGATTGGGGTTCTGGGGACACTGGGATGGCACAGGGACACCGTGGCCATGGGGACAGGATGGGCACAGGGACACCGTGGACATGGGGACAGGGAGAGGATTGGGGTTCTGGGCACACTGGGATGGCACAGGGACACTGGGATGGCACAGGGACACCATGGCCATGGGGACAGGGAGGGGATTGGGGTTCTGGGAACAGTGGGATGGCACGGGACACCGGGATGGCACAGGAACACCGTGGCCATGGGGACAGGGAGAGGATTGGGGTTCTGGGGACACTGGGATGGCACGGGACACCGGGATGGCACTGGGACAGTGGGATGGCACAGGGACACGGGGATGGCACAGGGACACCGGGATGGCACAGGGACACCGTGGCCATGGGGACAGGGAGGGGATTGGGGTTCTGGGGACACTGGGATGGCACAGGGACACCATGGCCATGGGGACAGGGAGGGCACGGGAACACCGCGGCCACGGGGAGGGACAACGCTGGGCCCAGGGACACGGTGACCACAGCGCCGGGCACGGGGCCGAGGCCAGCACCGTCCATCCCCCCCCTTGGCTGGCACCCCCAGCGCTGGCACAGCCCCCGCAGAGGCGCGGGGACACCGAGGACGCGCCACCCCCCGCGCCACCGCCCCCCCCGGGCGGCCCCGCCCGCGCCGGGAGCGCCGCCAGCCCCGCACAAAGGTCCCTTTGTGGGTGCCCGCCGTGGGAACCGAGCGGGGAGGTGGCACCGCGCCCGTGTCCCCACCCCCGTACCACGATGGCATCGCTGGCGCCCGTGGACAGGAAGATGTCCTGAGCCCTGGCGGGGACGCCGTCCCGGCGCTCGATGTACCGCGCCACGTCCTCCCGCACCAGCTCCACGCCCGGGCTGGCGCTGTACGAACCTGCGGGGATGGCGAGGGGACGGCGCGGTGACAGCGGCCGCGTGGCCGGGGTGGCACCGTGGGGACGGGGCCGAGGGTGAGGGGGGCACTGACCCACGCTCTGCCCGCCGCAGCCCCCCAGGAGCCGCCGCGCCCGCTCCTTGGCGTCGCTGGGGATGGCGGGGTTGGCCATGAGCTCCGGGCACAGGCACAGCGCTGTCACCTGCGGGGATGGCGCGGGGTGACACACGTGGAGGTGGCGGCGCTGAAAGGACCACCCGTCCCCACCACCACCACCCACCCAGGGGGTCGTACCTGGCGCAGGAAGGTGATGGGGGTCTGGCCCATGGCGTGGGCGTCACCGATGTTCGCCTTGATGACCTCGGTGAAGGGCTTGGGGACACCCTGCGGGGACAGCGGGGACACGGACGGGAACGCCACAGCGGGGGTGGGGACAGCAAGGATGGGGACAGCGGACGGGGACAGCAGGGACGGAAATGGGGACAGGGATGGGGACAGCAGGGATGGGGACAGGGATGGGGACAGTGGGGATGGGGACAGGGATGGGGACAGCAGGGATGGGGACAGGGATGGGGACAGCAGGGACGGGGATGGGGACAGGGATGGGGACAACAGGGACAGGGATGGGGACAGTGGCGATGGGACAAGGACAGCGATGGGGACAGCAGGGATGGCGACAGGGATGGGGACAGGGATGGGGACAGCAGGGATGGGGACAGGGATGGGGACAGCAGGGATGGGGACAGGCACAGCAGGAACAGGGATGGGATGGGATCAGGGATAGGAACAAGGACGGGGACAGGGATGGGGACATCAGGGACAGGATTAGGTCGGGGTAGGGATGGGGACAGAGGTGGGGTGGGGACAAGGGCAGAGGTGAGGGTGGGGACAGGAATGGGGACAGGGAAGGGACAAGGATGGGGACAGGGACAAGGAGGGGATGGGGACAGGGATGGTGATGGGGACAGGGACAAGGACGGGGGCAGGGACAGAGATTGGGACAAGGTCAGGGACAAGGATGGGGATGGGGCAGGGATGGGGACAGGGTTGGGAACAGGAGTGGGAACAGGGTCAGGGATAGGGACAGGGAACAGGGACAGGGACACGGACATTTGGACAGGGAACAGGGTCAGGGATAGGGACAGGGACCAGGGTCAGGAACAGGGAACAGGGACGGGGTCATGACCTGCCCGTCCCCGCCCAGGGACAGCCCCTGCGGTGACAGGGG